TAGAGAAAGCAGCTTTGCATCTATTGCAAAATTGTTCAATACGATTAGTTATTGCTTTTGGTTCCTTACAAATTTAAACGTATAAACCAATCATATTGAAGAATTTTACAACAGTTTCAAAGTTGCTATCGTCATCCTCACTTCTTTTGTTTCATAGACCGTGCATGGAGACATAAAACACTTGAACCCAGGAATGGATATTAGCTATAATTCATACAGGGCACTATAGGGCTTTGAAATATATTACTTTACATTCACTATTTCTCAAATTATTATTATTATTATTATTATTATTATTATTATTATGAGATTAAAAACTCATAAGTAAAACTTCAAAATAGAACACGTATATTAATTAAATTTGCATATTGAAAAAAAAAAATCTTAATCAAAGTCCTATAGCCTATCTAATATCATCTCTCAGTTCGAGCATTTTATGTCTCCGTGCACGATCTAAATGCTATAAAACAAAAGGAGTGGGAATGACAGGCAAAATGTGCAACTCGATTGTAGGCTGCAGGCAGTGCAGACCTATGATAATATTAACCAGTATATGTATGTATGAAAAACATCTTCTTGAAGTAATAATAAACAATATTAAGTGAAAATTGATCGATGAAATTAAATATACATTAATGGAAAATGTCATATTTGGTCAAGGCAGTTCTTTATGCCTAAAAATATTTCTTATGAATTTACATTTTTTTATTTATTGAAATATTATTATAGTTTACAATTAGATTTACATATCCGATTTTTATTCATTTTATTTTTCTATATATAACTATAACATTATTCTTGTTTTTTTAAATATAAATTGTCCGCATAATAAATGAATACTTACTACTATAATATGTATCTCTTATACTTTATATATATTTCTTATAATATTAATATGTATGTATTAGTTATGCTGTAGACGATACAGCTAATTTCTTCAAATGTTCCATAAATACTTGTAAGCTCACATCGTCTGTCAGAACAGGAGCACCACTTTCCTAAATGAAACAAACAACATAATTTAATTTTTGCTAAATTATGAAAACAATGTTGAAATTCTCTCTCTCTCTCTCTCTCTCTCTCTCTCTGCTCTGTGTGTGTGTGTGTGCGTGCGTGCGTGCGTGCGTGTGTGTAACGTGTATGTATAAAATTTTTTTATCACACACATTATTTATTTGGTACCAAAGATAATAAATTTAAAAAATTGAAATTTTCTTAAATATGTTAAAATGTATTTGACTTTCATCACAGAACATTATAACTGTATTTATATAGGCAATGAAGAATCGACAATTTAATTTATTTATGTCTAAAAATTAACTTTTATGAAAATCTCAGTCCCTTGGAGTATCGCGCAAGAACGAAATTTATACTAAATTCAAGTTTATGACAAATTTTGAATTATTTACCAATTTTTTCACTTTATATGTATTTTACATTTGTTGTACTTATCATTCACATTTTTTCACTTTATTCAATTAAATTTTATTTACAAAAAGTTACCTGCTCTTAAACTTTGTCACCAATTTTAAGTTTCAGTTCCTTACTTATAAGATTGTTTATAAAAAAAATGGCATTTATAATATTATAAAAAAACTTTCACATATTTAATAAATACGAAGATTAGTGCATAAGATAAGATTTTTATTTTTCAGATATTAATAATTGCTTAAATCAAATGTATGAAATCTTGAAATGTATGAAATGTATGAAAAAATTTTTAGATTTAGATGGATATCCATTAGTGTCCGTATAACTCCGTAAAGTATCAGTCATATTGAAATTTCAATTATAGATTTCGAAAGTAGAAATTTTAACCTTCAAAATGCTTTTTTAATTTTTTGTCTGCGATGATTTTTCACCGAGTTACCGGTGTTCTGAATATTGCCCAATTTTTAGCGTATTTGAAAGTATTTCCTAGATTTTGTTGAGTAGTGTATATATATTTACTTACCGCACCATAAGCATACATATTATTGTGTGTTTGACTTGGGTTGACTTTGCTTAATAAAAATCTAGCTTGAGAACCACCTTGCTCCGTGTCAATATATCTCGGCGCAGGAAATCTAACAGCTAATGTATCAGCAGCATCATCAACAGGTGCTGCTAGTAACTGTCGAAAATTTTCGTATTCTGGTAAATCTTGATATTTCAACTGTCGCCACTGTGCAATAGTCTATAAAAATATAAATTTTAAAACATTTGCTTTGTTAACAAGTTTTATATACACTTAATTAAAATATACACAATTGCACACTCCTGTATGCGTGTGCAAAAAAATTTTTATGGCATAAATTTTTTACAAAACATGTAAACTTACAGGGTTGCAACAGAAAATAAATTTTGAAACTTCCTGACTTTTTAAGGTTTTTCCAGACGATAATGGAGAATTTTTCCTTATCTAATACGTAATCGTACAACAAATTCGATTGGATGCATTCAGGACGCACTGGTATACATTAAAGCCATCGTACACAAATTAGCATAAAAATATGTGTTTAATATAAATATAAAAATGAATTGATGAAATGTTCAATACATTTTATTGTGCTTTCAAGTAAAATTCGTATTTTGATTCGAAATACTTGCATTTTATACTTTTAAACAAATTAAATCAGCGTACAACGACTTTAATATACTTGTTCAAAAATAATTTATTAATCTACTATGTTCAAAAATAGTTCATCTATTGATATTATAATAAAGATAATTACCATATGAAGCAAATGAATATTGTTATGAATTTATTTTGACATATATATAGTGCATTCTTCTGTCATTCTATCTTCGTTGCTTATTAGATATAAAACAAGGATAGAATGACACAAATAGCGTTAATAGCGTCTCACCGAACACACTTGCAATATCTCGTTATTGAATTGATACTTTTTACTTCGTGATATATTTCAATATTAGTTATGCATACGTAATATACAAATAAATTTCATATATAGAAGCAAGAAAAATTTGATATTTAGTACAAATATTATTGTATGATAATCTCGAAGTTACTCCTCGTGGAGCACTTTTATCACTTGTCATATCATTATGCCTGAAACGCGCGAAATGTCAATTCCGTGACTAGTAAACTTTAATTGTTAATAATTTAAAAATCGTTATAGCTTCGACATTTTCGTATTAGAATTTTCATCTTAGAATATTTCAAAAGAATCTGCTCTTAAAAGGACTTGCAGTGATTGTGGAACACTCTATATTTTTTCGCTTTTAACATCATAATCTGAGATGCTATTAATGAACAAGGGTCTTAATTTATTAATTTATTCTATTTACCTCTCCATGAAATATAAGTATCTGAAAAAATGTATCCATCAACAGAATTCTATCAGGTTGAATAGACGATGTATCTAACAATACAGCCTCTGGAGGGCCATTAAATCCATAACTATATAAAACTGGTTGGATCATAACTAAAGAATCGGCTACATTTTCACGCATAAGCATATGCCTGAAACATATAAAAAAATATGTGTAAATACATTCTGACAATCTAATGATTAAACTCTTGGATAGAGGAGAAATGGACTAAATCGAGTAAAAAAGTCCTCTATCATTTTATAATTTTCACAAAGTTAACGTACTCGCTTATTTAGCGATTTTTAAAAATTAATATCTCATCAATCATTGCGAAAATTGCAAAACGCGATAGAGGACTTTCCTACTCAGTTTAATCCATTCTGCCTCTATACGAGAGTTTGATCATTAATTATCAACCATATATATCATAAATGTACACAAAACCATATATATATATCATAAATGTACATAAACGTATGCGTTCTTATAACTTGATTATTTTAGAAAGTATTGGTTTATTGGAAAAATATTTCTGATGAAAGTTATATATTAGAGTTTAAAATCTATTTACTGATCTTATCAGTTTGACCTTAGATATGACCAAGGTTAAGTCAAGGTCACATCGATTTTTTAAAAATAAAAACCCCCATATTTTTCATTGCATATTCTTATAACTTATCTTGAGAGCTTTTCGAAACATTCTATAACGAAAGCATTTTTCATTACGTACTTTTTTAGTTATAAGACTAGAAATTTATAGTACCGCCAGTATATCAACATTATCCAAAATGTTCGACTAATAGTTAGAACCTTTTAAATGTTGTTCACGGTCATGATCTTGACATCATATGTCAAGATCAAGGTCTTTAGAGATTTTTCTCATTTTCATTTTTAGTATAAGAATGAAAAGAAGTACCTTATAAATATACGCGTATGCATGTAAGTATACGTATACGTAAACGATGTATCGAATGCAGAAATCAAAGATTCGAACCGAAATTACATTTCGGAATGAAATTTCGGATCAATTATAGTTCGAGACTATCCTACTTTCAGTTCTAATTCTTTTAGCAGTAACGATGATGATTACAAGTATATAATTACCGAAAATCAAAAGGAACGAAAAGGATTTATTCAAAAGATATATACTCCAGTTATTTATTTTTAAACTGCAACAATTAATATTCATATATTATAAATATAAACTATAACTTTAAGTAAAAAATTAAAATCCAAATAATAACCGTTACGTTAAAAAAAACTGGAATAAAAAGTTGAATTTAGCTTCAGATTATCCGGGTCAAAATTTTTTGGTCCGAGTCCTTGATAGAAATCTAAACTTATCAATAAATTTTAAGTATCATATGCATAAAAAATAAGAAACCATATATATTTCATAAAAATTAAAAATGTTCTTACCTATAAAAGCTGGTTTCATCTGGTGAATTATTGAACACTTGTAAAAATTGGGATCTGCGCAAATGATACATAAATTGTGGATACATAGAAAAATTTTGTGCTAATCTAAAGCTATTTGGATCATCTTTTGCATATTCTCCAAACTTCTGACACTGCAACAATAAGTGTTTTATTTCTTAAAAAATATAAAAGAATATATAATTACAAAATTATATGCTACTTAAGAACATATATTTATATGTAATTTTTTGCAATTTTATTAACAGAAACTACTAACAAGTCTAATCAGCATTCGATCGACCCATCTTAAAACATCTGGACCATCATCACTTTCTGCTCTGAATACGGCCAAACGCGACATGAGAACAGCTGCTGCTTCTTGATCAAATCCAGCACTTATATGATGCAATGATGATGATGCATCTGCCCAACTGTAATTCAAAATATATTCTAGAAATATTAAAGATCTATAAATTATCATGTAATATACATGGTATTGATAATTAAGTTCTTGGACTGAGGCTGTTTTCATAAAAACAGAAAAAAAATCGAGTATTAATATCTCCGTGTATGTATCTAATATATATAGTCCCTTCTAGCTTTCAATCAACGTTTACATCGCTTTTACAACGATTGAATATCCGAGAAAATGTTTCATTCCGAATCGCTTTTAGTTCTCTCATCATAATGTACTGGATCGATGACATATCCATTTCCTTAAACTCAGATCCAACGCGATGAACGAGAAATCGATCGAGCGATTAATTCTCTTGATTACTCAAGTTTATTGCATTAAGATTGAGCTTAAGGAAAAAAGATCCTGGTTTCTTTTGCAAGACGTTTCAACGCATTTTTTAATCGTTATCTCAGAGAAATGAGAGACCTCCATGTTAGTCCATTTGCCCTACTCATCTGATGTAGCACCAAACTTTTTTTTTATTTTCTAAATTAAAGCTCCTGATTAGTCGCTGCGATCATATTGAATCGTGACATCATGAACGAGAAATGACACAATGATTTTCTTGCATGCCATTTGTAAATAAAGAGAATTTCGATGAAACGAAATAATGAGATCGCTTTAAAATACTCATAAAAATGTGCTGAAGCTATCCTTACCTGCCCTGACAGTCAGTAAATAGTCAAAAAAAAGCACGTAAAATTCGTTTATTAGTTTTTATTTAATACGCACGCGTAGCTTATTTCCATTTCACGAGTCTTTTTTTATTATTTACTGACTAATCAAGGATGGTAAAGATAGTTCTTGGTCCATTTTTACAAGTGTTTTAAAGCGATCTCATCATTTTGTTTCATCCAAATTCTCTTTATGTATAAATGGCATGCAAGAAAAACCAATGTGTTATTTCTTGTTTATGATGTCGCGATTCAATATGGCTGAGATGATTACTCAAGAGCATTAACAATTGTAATGAAAGGAACAAGGATTTAAAGATGTATCATCGATCTAACAGATTGTGACAAGAAAAACGATTCGGGAAGAAGTTCTTTTCAGGCATCCTTCGGGTGTTTTTTTACATTGCTTTAGTCTAGGAACTTAATTGTCACTATGCATTAAAAAGTAGAAAAAAATACTTACTTCCTTGCAACAGTAGTAACTCTAATTCTTCTTTGTCCACTGCTATGTTGATATTGAGTAATAAATTGCATACATCCTCTTCCACCTTGCGGAATCGGAGCTGTATGTTGATTTACGACTTCAAAGAATAATGCTGTTGTTGTAGATGGTGTTAACGAACAAAATTTCCATTGACAAGTACCACCTAAACCTACTTCTTGCTCTCCAACGCTAGATCCTTTTACTCCTAATGATACACAAGGTCCAATTGCTCCAGAAACTTTAATTTCCCGAGATGTTTTTACTTCTAAAGTGGCATTGAATGCCATTTTCAGGTATTTACCATCTTTAGCAAATACTCGTTGAAAAGTTTGTTTAAATAAAGAAGAATTAAATGAATCTCCCATTACCATGTGACCACCAGTAGAATTACAACATTGACGCATTTCTAACAAACCAGTTTGATCAAGGGCACAAGAATAAATATCTATTATATGACCATTAGTTGCAGCGCGTGATGCAAGTGCATCGTAATGCTTAGTTGCCTTTTTCATATGCTTAGCGTTATCTTTTTGTATATCATGATGTGATCTAATTGGTTGTCGCAAATCATCAGTTACTACTTGGCCAGGTCCTTGAGAACATGGTCCGCCGACAAATAACATAATCCTGAAATAGATTAGATTTGATAAAATTATATATAATATTAATGTATATATAAATATATATGTAATATTAATGTAAATATAAATATACATGATGAATCAGAGTCATTGAACCAGCTTTTTATCCTATAAGAAAATTATCGACTTCATACCTAATTGGATTATAACGTGTGCAGTCGATAATTTTCTTATAAAAACTAGTTCAATGACTCTGATTCACCCTGTATTTATTATAATATATAAATACCTAGCACCGGTATTTGCATAACTAGCTTCTAAAAGACCTGTGGCAACTGCCAATGCCACGCCTGTAGATCGTAATGAACGTTTTCCTGGTCCAACAGGCCAAGGATCACGTTGTAACTCTCCCAAAAGATCTGTTAAACTCATGTCACATTTGTGTACTGGTTGTAAAAAACGATTAGCAGGTGGTAATGGTTGTACACCAGATCCTCTTGGCTGATTAGGATTTTGTCCTGGAATTGGTCTACCAATACCTATCAAAATACAAAATAAATTATATTAGGTGTTGGAATTAATTCGTAGCGTTTTACAAGAGATGGGAAGTACTTTCATTAATGTATTTTTTAATGCTCATGTGAAATAAATAACATTCTTTCATTTAAAAACGCTACGAATTAATTCCAACACCTAATATATAATTAAAATATGACTTAAATAAATAATTTAAAGCTTAACTATTACCTAACATATCTTGAACTTGTTTTGGTTGAAGATCCTTTGTGCCACGAAATACATAACTTTTACTGCAACCGTCACATCCCAATTCGTGAACTTGAACCATTTTACCAAATGTAATAAGACCAATGAGGGCATTAGATGGAAGTAAAGATAATGACATTTGTAATGAATCTTTAAGTGCTCCTAATTCTTCATCATCCAAGCAAGTATCCACAACAAGTAGAAATATAGGTGGTAAACATTGGGCACGCTAAACATAATATTATATGTATGTACAAGATATCGTAAAATTTAATTTAAAACGTAATTTCAGTTTGACAAACGTAGATAATAAATTATGTATATAAAAACTGAAAATCAACCATAGTAGTGTCACTGCGCGTGCCTTAGCGCCGAGACACTACCAGTGTCTTCAGATACTCTCAGTAGAAGACAAAATTGCAAACCATACAACCATAAATACACGTTCAATATCCAATATATTTTTCATGGCACCTAGATTTTCTTTCTAGTTTTGGAAATCTATTATAAAAGATTATTTTTTAGCTACCATGATGCTTATTCAGTTTTACAAATTTACTACAAAATTGATTATAATTTTATATATACATAATCATAAAATTATATTATTTTATATATAATCAATTCTGTAATAAGGGTTGATTTCCTTATAAATAGAGAATCCCCCCCTGATAAGCGGCCACTTTTTATCTAATAAATTAAAGTCGACGACACATGATATTTTAAAATGCTGAATTTCTAGCCAAAACGCTTTTACGTTTTGCTATTATTGGCTGTAGTGCTGTCACTTCCATGTAGAAGTACTAGAAATCCAGTAGGAAAAAAAGCATCCTGTGCGGCCAGTTTAACAGAGATAGACTAATAAATATAATATTAAATTAAATGATTTTAATTAAACTATTATAAACACAGTGATCACTTAGAAAATTTATTCTTATTAGAGATCGGAGAGATAATTTTTGCAAAATGAAGAAAATATTTCGATATAAAAGAAGTTGTAATGTCCGTTCTAATGAATACAACAAAGAAAATTATTTTACAAATTATACAAGTTATTTCGATTTAAAATTTAACGGGACTTTTCAATTTCGATCTTATGGTGTGGCCAATATTGGACTCTCATATCGATTAATTTATGATCAGGATGGTACAGATCAATCATCAATACAAGTCGGAAACTGGCCACATAGTACCGAAATTAAAAAAGTAATAGTCGCCTACAAAACTTTAAACCGAAATAATTTGTAAAATAATTTTATTATATCATACATCGTTGTATTCGTTAGAATAACAGCCTGCTACAACTTCTATTATATCAAAATTTTTACTTTATCGTGGAAAAGTTATGTATATCTCTCCATTCTTTATTATGGATAATTTTTTTTAGTGATTACTGTGCTTACAATAGAATTAGAATAATTTAATTGAATACTATATTTATTAGGTCTAATATCTCCGATAGTTTATGAGACAAAAAGAAATAACACTTATGGAGAAATCCCATATAATACTTCTTTTAAATTATTTCAAATTATTAAATGAAATCATCATCTCAGTCCTATTGCTTGTGGCCGAGCGTGGTAACTTCTTTCATATGCCTGTGGTGCGCACGCTGATTGTACACAGTCATATGGGACCTACTGTTTAACGTCGATTCCGAACGACAATTTTTGTTAGAGAAGTTCTCTTGGCAAAGATACTCGGTGGTTTGCCATTGCTTGTCGAGAGGAGCTATGAGCGTTCGAAAAATTTTTCAGTTCTGCCCGGGATCTCTGGCATAGCAGTCTCGTGCGCTGCCGTTACGCCACGCTCGCACTCAAATGAAATTAAATGGAATATGTATTGACAAAAAAAAATATATAATTTAGGAAAGTAACACATACACACACCATACTATACACATACTATGAACCAAGTAATAATTAAATTAATTTTTACAGCAAAAGTAAATAAATATTCTTACTTATTTAGCTTTCATTTCTTATAAATAAAACTAATAAAAACTTCTATCTCTATCTTATTTATAATTCATTACATACCATTATTGTATACTCAATTGTTGAAAACATTGGGATGAGTTCTGCAGGCTGGTGTTGTTCTGAAATTGCAGCATATTGTGGTGGAAACTAAAAAATACAAAGATGTATGAGTATATAATGGTGGTTCAACAAGTGAGTTGGTAATCGGTAATCAAAAGTCTTAACCAGTATCTTATGCTTATCCAACAAGAGTCGTAAGTCATAAGAAATTAGCTAATCACAGTTGAATATGAAATAATTGGCTATGACTGCTTATATTGATATGTAGAACAGGTTTTAACCTTAGTCATATGTACAAGTTGACCAACATATCACTGATTAAGACTAATGGTCATTTAGGAATTCTATGTGATTAGCAAATCTTAGACTAGCTATATAGAAAACTGGGTCTCAATGAGGTAAATCAATTTTCTCATATAATGTAGTTTATAATGTAGTTTATAAAACAACAAAAGATATCATAGACACAACGTTTAGTAATATAGTTTTTGAGTTATAATGTATAAAAAGTGTAAAACTTGAGCTCACAGAATATCTTTGATACACCATAGCTCAAGAACTATCTATCTATGGCTGCATTCAACAAAGAAAGCAGTTTTGCGACTATTGTAAAATTCTCCCATATAATTAGTCTTTGCTTTCCTTATGGATCTAAATGTATAAATTATATTGAAGAATTTCACAACAGTTGCTTTCTCTGCTGAATGCAATCATTATTTAAACCATATGTATACAGGGTATCCCGAAATTCGCGAATTAGTAAGAGTTTCCAAAATATTAAGTGCAAAAGTCATTTGTGAATTTTTAATTTAAACAACGATTTCTAAAATAATAAGTACTAATTACGAACTATGTTTAGACAGACGACATTTAAATGCTGAAGTATGCGCTTTCTAATACTACTACATATAAGATTTATGGATAAGAGATCGTCTAAAGCAATAGTTGGCCATATTTAACACAAATCTCAAAAATTACTTAAAATAAAAATAACTTCTTTACTTAATTTTTTTAAAACTTTCTTCCTAAGATATTCTGATTTGTAAATTTTGAAACATGGTTATAACATTTTTTTGTTTATTATATTATAAGCTACACATATGTAAAAATCAACTTATCTCACCAGATTCAATTTGCCATTTGATATAATTAGTGCAGAATTCTTTTACAAATTAAATTGTTGATATTACTAATACTATATTTTGTCAAAGTAAAAATTAAATATCTATCTCGTTAAACTAATAGAATTTAATAAAAATGTTCAATTATTATTATTACATTATAAGCTACTATTTTGGCAACATAGTCTGCTAACATGACAGCAGAAATTGAGCAGAACCCGTATATGTAAATGTTTATTTTATTCTATTTCTGTATCACAAATATGTCAAACTTTTGAGATATTTACAAGTATGATTCTACAGTATAATTTCTACAGATTCTTTGTCATCATATTCTGTTGACAAAATTTGTTATATTTCTGTCAATACTATCTACTTTGTATATTCCAAATTCTGATCAAATGTACAGCTTTTTTAATGACAAAATGTATAGCAGACACTTTTGAGAATCTCTTTATAAATTTGCTGTTTAAATATATTTTCTAATTAAGCAGTTAATACACATTATTAAACTTTACTTATTGATATGGTTTAATATATATTTAAAAACAATATAGCCCACGTTAAAAGTAAAATGTAAGTTTCTTTTCTTACAGGATTTCTCTGAAAGCAAAAATTGCAGACCCATAACTTTGCACGATAATCCACTTGACACAATGGATTTAAAATAGCTCTGCAAGTAGATCTTGTACATAAAACTGGATCATATTGAATTGCTGGAAGATTTGGTCGTTCTTTAATTGGTTGGTACAAAGTACCCAACGGAACAACCAGTCTGGTAGCATCGATACGTGATGAGGGCCACACATTCCACGTGAATCGCACTCCGTCGCGATCTTCGTTTTGTTGAATAAAATCTTCATATGTCGTCATAATACTGCAAGATACAATAGTTTATTTTTCAGTACAAATTATTTATTTCATCTTTTAAAATTAATTTCTTTTTTTCTATATATAATTGTCTATTTTTTAATATAGAAATGTAAAATAATGAAGTTTGGGAAATAAATATTGAAAAATCAATAATTTATTTAGTTATAGAATATTATTTAGTTATAGAATTAAATAAATACTTACGATTATCTCTGCATACGAAAAATATAAATTAGTTACAACTATTATATTCACTAATACAATTTCCTTACAATACTGTTAACAAGAGATTACTATATAGATTTTTATTAAAAAATAATATTTCTCTCACGCAAACACTGCAGCCACGTCACTTGGAAGATTAAACGCATGCGTACTACGTCTTCCGCGTGTACAAACCACAGATGTCTATACTACATCTAGATTGCTAAAGCCAATAAGCTAATGGCATATAAAAACGTTTAAGGCGCATTCACATGCAAGCGTGAAGCTTCAAGCAGCAAAAGCAGCAACCAATCAACGATTTTTACAGTGCAAAAAATATTTTTCACATCATTGCCTGTATCGCTCAGCTGATTGGTTGCTACTTTCCGCTGCTTGACACTGACGCTTGCATGTGAATGCACCTTAACTCGAAAAGTATCGTCAGTGCGATACTGGTATTGGCAGCACCACAGCCAATACGGTAGCAAGATTCTAATCCAGCTAGCAATCCAGCAGGATAACTAGCATGTTTGTCGCTGGATTTAGATGTTTTGTAAATGTTCCTTAATACAGATGTTATTAAAATCGTTTTAGTAAATCCTGTCAAACCTCTTCTGGTTTGGCATTATTAAACCGTTTTTAAAAAAGCTGTGTAAAATCGATCTTTAATCGGTTTAAAGTATCAAAATTCGGTATTGACAACTTTAGACAACTTAAGGTTAAGAAATGACAAAGGATTTATTTCGTCTCAGGTTTTATAAAGCTACTTTATTTTTAATGGAGGTAAAATACGCTTGATCGTGTAAATAGACACCAACACCGATTTTAAAACGGTTTTTGCTAAAATTGTTTTACTAGTGCGTGTAAACGTAGTCATTGTGTTTCCAACTTAAGAATTTCAACCTATCAGAAACTGTGTTTTCCATAGTGCATGGTTTTTTAATGGCTGCGTTCAGCAGACTTGACAGTTAAGCGAGCGCTCGCTGCTATTGATGTATTCTTCCAGATCTAAAATGCTGATTGGATGAACTAAAAGAATATACCAATAACAGCGAGCGTTCACTCAACGGTTGAATCCGCTGAACGCAGCCATTGGTTAATATTTTTATTCATTGTTCCCTCATTCATTGTTCCTTTGATTGTGCGGAGGACCTAAATCTACAGCTTTACTTTGCCGTATTAACTTCTGTCATTTTCCTGTTGACGATTCCATTATTCCACTGTTCCAGTCTGTTCGAGTCGGTGCACTGTTAGCACGAACTGATATGAACGTTCCAAAGATAATCTAACTTAGTTGGAGTTGTTTGATTTTTTTCATGATGTGTGTTATAATTAGTACGATGGCAATAATTTTTATCGATCGTCAGGAGTATTGGTAAAACGAAACGGAATCAGTTCTTGCGCGAAGAATGCGTTTAGTGTGCAATATGCTCTGAACGTACAGTGAAATAATAAAGGACTCTCACAATTTCGTGTTCATCGATATTTTAGTTCCCATCTCAGAATGGTTTTGAGTCGCAACGATAAAAGAAAGAGGAAGGAGGGAGATCTGGTGGACCTCGTGGAACCACTTTCGGAATCTCCGAAAAGGTAACTCGCTTTTACATTACCATGTAATGTTTTTAATGATAATAACTTCTCAAATTGTAAACAAAGTATATTTAAAGAAATATATAATAATACATACGTTTAATCATCCTATGTAGTAATTTTTTAAGAGATTGTCATTATATTAAGTCAACATAATTATTCCAGGACCAAAGTTCATGCACAAAGAAAATTTGCGCAAGGTGCGATCACTGTGTTTAACACATCACCTACACCTATTAAGGACAAAGAGAAAGCTAAACCTGCTACAATCACAGAATTAATAACTCACAAACGACCAAATACGGAGGATTTTTTAACATTTTTATGCTTCAGAGGTTAATCATTCAAGGATAATATCGATATTTTTATTTAAATCAATAATTCTTAGCCAAAAAGTTGTAACATATTCTAAATCAGGCCTGTCCAATTAGAGCTCCGGAGCCAAAACGCAATCCATCGATGCAAAAAAATTCAATGTAGGTAAGATTTTGGGAATTATAAAGTATCTAGCAAATGAGAATGAATTAAAATGGATTGAAATTTTTTTCTATCCGAATGTTTATTTTAATAAATACTTTTTTTTGGATTCAATTATATTCAATTGAATGCAATTGGATGCAATTGGATGCAATTGAATTGAAAAATGCATTTCCTATTCAAAATTTTGAATTGAACAGTATTCACAATTGTGTGCACAGAAAAAGCTAATATTATTTTTAGATTGAAAGACATAGGAATATGCCCCATGCAATTCCTATAAATGAATAAAAATTCAGTATTAAAAAGCATTTATTTTAACATTCGTGAATCAATATTTTTGAAAATCTGAATCCATTTCAATTCATTTCAATCCATTCTTATTTACTAGGTGTTGATGAGTGTCAATCAGATGCGTATCAACACTCTACAGTCTCCAAAATTTTGCTTACGCTGAATTTTTTTGTGTCGATGCTAAATTTTAAAAGATGCAGAGGGATGAATTTTTGTCTCTCTCTCTCTCTCTCACACACACACACACACACACACACACACACACACACACACACACACACACACACACACACACACACACACACACACACACACACACACACACACACACACACACACACATTTGTTCTGTTAATAAAATATAAAATTGAATATGTTACTTAGAAATATATATTCTATTGTTGATATTTTTGTTTAGTATCACTTATTACAAACAAAACTTATAATAATTTATATTGTATATTTACTTAATATAATTATTATAATCTGTCTTGATTTTAACATGTTCTTTAGACAAATCCTTTTTTTCAAATTTAGGAACATCTATTTTGCCACCTAATTTAAATTTTTTCAATACTGGCAACAAAAAAGAGAAACAAGGATCTAAGCCAACTCAAACTTTTATAGAGAAGACATTGTCCTCTACTAGTACTTTCATAGAAATTCAAAAGCATGAAAATACATGCCAAAAAAATTTGACAAAAGTAAAGCCTATTGTCTCGAATAAAAAAAAAGTGACTAGTGCGTTGCACAAAAGTATTACCAAACTTAAGACGACTACATCTACGGTTCAAGCACTTAAAAAGAAATATCAGGAACAACGCCTTGCTAAGCAAAGAATCAAAAATAAATTTAAAGCTACTTGCGTTATGAAGACAAGATCATGTACAGAGAGATCTATGTTGAAGGCTGGTCTTAAGTTGGCACCGCGAAAATTTTTACCTAAAATCAAGACAAAGAGGCATGGCCTAAGAAGTAGTGTACTACCAGAGAAAACCAATAAACCTCTATCAAAAGCAAAAGTTACGTTACCCAAACCAAAGAAGAAAGTCAATTTAAAATCGAAAAATAGTGATACTTCGAATATAGATGCGTCATCTGAAGAAGACAATGATGTCGATGACAATCAAGGGGAAGAATTACACATGGAGAAATCAACATCGCAGATAAAGCGAAACATACAAAGAGGCATCCAAAAAAAGATTTGCACTAGAAGTAAGTCAGAGATGAGGAGAGTTACAAGATCGTCCAGTGGCATAGTCTCTTCACAAAATCTTTCCAGAAGGCCTACCAGAAAAACAAAGGAAGCAGCTGCTGTATACATGGAAATTCTTGGGAGAAAACTAGTGAGTCCGGATTTAGAAAATGATGATAACGTTTCATTTGAAAGTTTTCCCGAGCTACCAAATGCTCGTAGAATAACGCAAACGGAGAACGAGCTTAAAGCCAAAGTGAAACAAAATAGTATCAAGACTATTATTAAAACCAAGGATTCTAAAGTTAGTTCTTACAATAGTAACGCTAATAAGCGATTGGATAAAAGCAAAAATAATAAACTGATTTTAAAGAGCAAACGTCTGATGAGGGTACAGAAATATTGTGAAGAGGATAGCGACGAAGAATCTGAGAGCTCAATAGAAACAAGCAATTCGAGACCTATTACCAGACAGAGTCTTGGAAAGATTGATAAACCAAGCAGAAGCCTTAGATCATCCTCTAAAAACACAACTATACAAACAACTATACAAAGTAACGTAAATAGCAAACCGAAGACTCAAATTCAAAATTGTGTGAAATCAGCTAGGGAAAAATTTGTGATAAAACGTAAACGCGAGAAAAATATATGTAAAACGTCATTGGATAAGATTAAGCAAAAGAGCCTTAAAAGTAATCAAAACGAGAAGGGGGAATCAGAAGAGGAGACGCTAGGAATGCTGCTCAATAAAATAAAGAAGAAAAAAGACAATGAGGAGGAAGAAGAAGGGCAAGTCCCTGACAATATCAACAATCTGAAAGATAAAAAAGCAGCTTGCAGTGATATACAAAAAACAGCCGATCTGTCAAAAGTATCAGACGATGAGGAATCTTTTCGAGGGTTTACTAAGAAGGCGATATCAAAAGTTTTGAATTCATGTCAGACGCATGCCAATGTTAATTTGCTAGTCACAGAATCCGATAAAAAATTGAATTTACCCAGAACATTGGATGTATCGCAAACAGCGCAAATAGTCAATCAAAGCGCCATTTTACGGAAAAATAAAGTAGAAACATCACCGATCAAAGATGGTTTCTCAGTTGCAAATCCGCTGAACAGTGAATGCGATTTATCTGTACAAGAAAAATCTGTATTAGATTTGTCCGTCAAGAGCCAAAGCTTATTGTTACCATCTGTAGAACAGACGAGCAAAACATGTAATCGCGAAAATGAGGTTTCTTCCTCAAACCTTATGCCACTGTCCACTCTGCACACAAGAAAAGAACGAGTGAATATGTCGACCGAACAGATAGAAAAGTGGTTGAACGAAAGTTCGTTTGCTAAAGAAGAGAGCAAGCTGGAGATGGAAAATGTTTCCAGTTTTAGATATGATTCTACAGAAAAGTTAAAGGCGGATGTCTCGCATTTGTCTATTTCGACGAAAATCCAACATTTGGTACGCCCAGTCAACGTTACACTTTCGAAATTATCGGATAAGACGAATTTGAAGGATCGTATGGGGATACACAGCAAAAATGTAATACCGGTAACATCTGATACCGGTAATATCCGTAATACTGGAGTGAAGCAACAAAGTGCGACAAATATTGACAAAAATAAGAGCACTATCGAAACGAAAGAGATCGTCAAGAATAAAATTGGGAAAACGAACAAAGATACTTCTTTTGCTGAAGATATTAGCGATACTGTGTCTAAAACGGATCAAAACTCCGTGGTGGATGATGCTGTAGAGAAGAAATCGCCGACAGAGAAGAAAATATTTCAACCGCGGAAACCTTTTTTGCCCAAGGTTAAGGAACGTAAAATTGTAATACCAAATGCAAACGCGTTTTCGCCAGAGAACGAGAGTAGCGTTTACGCATTTGAAAGTGACGCCGAAGTTCCCGTTAGCACACCCTTCCGAAGAAAGATCAGAGATAATGGAAAACATTCGACTGCGATAACACCATCACCTGCAGAGACTATAATATCTGAGTCCAAAGTAATCGCTAACAAATCAAATTTGAAGGATTCTAAACCATTGGATAGTACGGAAAAATTGTCGAACGATCCCGTAACGACTGTAAAGAAAGAACAAGAATCGCAAGAACCGAAGAACGTAGCAAATTCAGGTACAGGCGTGAGCAAGTTTGAATTGCCCAACAATTTTGCAAACTTGACCACTGTCCAAGTGTTACCACTCGACAAACTCACGACAAGTTGGAGTAACGTAAATTGCAGTGCTTCCATAGCGGTGCAGGTGAATCTCGACGAGACCACTCAGGAACACGAAAACAATACAAGTCAACAGAAAAGTACTGAGATATCTACTCAAACCGAAATGAGTAACGAGAATGACGACGACAACGATGGACATCTATTTTATATTCCGTTACAGGCTGTTACGAGAGGTGGCCCAAATCTGGTACAAGGTCAACAGCTAATACAGGGCGTGGCTGTTAAACTCGGTACGGAAGGACCGACCGGCCCTAATCAAAGAGTTCTCCTTCGAGCTAAGTTGGTCACTAAGCCACCGTCATCAGTGGCACGTTGTCCACCGATAGGAACAGTACAACCGACAACGCGTACTCCACCTAATCCTGCAGCAATGACAGTGGAACAGCAAATACCGTCAACGTCAACGACTGCAACTGTGTCAACCACGATAGCAAGTATGTCGAACGTGGAGATGCAATCAATGTCATTGGTGAAAAACGAAATGCCAGTGCCAAGTCTGATTCGTCAAAATGCTAGTACAATCATAAATAGCAATTCAGCTGAGAAACTCACAAAATCACCTAAGTCTAGGGAGCGGAAAGAGGTAATATTGAACGTTATATTTTCGAAATAACATAAATAATATAAGTTAATAATATAAGCGAAATTATGCAGCTTATCGAAATTATACACTTTTATCACTTGTGATAAAAATCTTTTAGGACACAAATGAAATGCAAACAAAAGGGATCAGAACTGTGCTCTTCAAGCAGTACGACGTTTCTAGGCGCGAAAATCGCGAATGATGAAGCTCGCGTGGTCGAGGCGCCAACGTTTTATCCGACGGAGAAAGATTTTCAGGATCCATTGGAATACATAGATAAGATAAGATCAATCGCTGAAAAATTTGGAATATGTAGAGTGGTGCCTCCACCAAATTTCAAGGTAAATATCGCAGAGAGAAAGTTCTACTAGACAAGTTATATACAGAGTGATTTTAACATATTTCGTCATCCATCATGAGCAAATAGAATGAATCGAACTGAATCGAAAAGTGCTCTACCATTTTGCAATTTTCGCAATAGTTAACAAGATATTAATTACTAAAAATTGCCAAATATTGGTCTTGAATAATTTTTTACTCAAATACTATCAACTTTATAGAAAAACTGCAAGAGACAAAAATCATTTATCTTCTTCTCATAAAGTTCTGAGAATTTTTTCAGAATTTTTTAATACCGTATTTTCTCATGTTGGTAAAAATAAGAAAATATAGTACTAAAAAGTTAATAAAAAATTCTGAAAAAATTTTAGAGTTCTATATATATGTATATATATATATTAGGTGTTGGAATTAATTCTAATTACATTTTATGATTTTCTTTTTTTTTTAATTTTTAGCCAGAATGCAAGGTGTCTGATGATATGAGATTCACCGCTTATAATCAATACGTACATCGCATGCTACACAGATGGGGTCCTAATGTAAAAGAAATGATGGCTATTAAAAAATATTTAGCTACTCAGAGTATTACTTTGACTCAACCACCATGGGTAAAATTATTTGTGTATATATATAATATATATAATTTGTGTGTGTGTGTGTGTGTGTATGTGTGTGTATTTACATATATTAATATTTTAAATAGATATTGTATAATTGAAAAAATTTGAAGATCAGTGCTTACCAATAATTAACTCTTTCAGATTGGTGGAATGGAAGTAGATTTACCTCACTTATATCAAACAGTTCAAAGCTTAGGTGGATTGAAAGAAGTAATTGAGAAAAAAAAGTGGCAAAAAGTAGCAGATGGTATGAAAATACCGAAATCAGCACAGGATCGTGTTACTAAGCTAGATGATATTTATTGTAAATATTTATTGCCATATGATACATTATCCCCAGGTATATTTTATATAATAGATAAGCTTTACAAAAATATCGAAAAATTTATACTCTGAATTATTTATAATTAAAAATAATTTGTTTAGAGGAACGTGGAAAGTTGTTTGACGAAGTTGAAACTGAATGGGTAAGAAAAGAAAGCAAAGCCTTGCAAAGGCAAGAAGTGACATTTAATGATAACGATGAGGAAGAGGATGAAGACAGTTCTGATGAAATTGAAGAATGTATCGTAAAAGTACGACAAGACACATTAGTTAATTATTATTTTTATTTTTATTTTTATTTTTATTGTAAGATGTAGAAATATATATATTTTTATGTGCAATTTTAAAATTTAATTCGAAAAAATTTAATCTTTTATTTGAAGCAAGTTTGAAATCTATTTAAAAATCAAATTTTCAAATATTTTATTAAAAATTTCCATCAAAAATTTCAAAAATGTACCATAACTTTCAAGCCTTATAAGTTCTTAATGAAAAACAATTTGATTAGAGTGCTTTAAAAAGCTGTGGAAGTAAACTATGTAATAAAAAATGTAATGACAAATGGAGGATTCTATTTAACAAATTCAAAGTGAATTTGACCTGACCTTAACGACGTCACCCAAGGTCAAAATGGTACTTTCTTTTTTCTATTTCCCTTTGGAATTAAAGTAACTTTTGTTTGAAATATTTTTCCTCCATTTTTTGAGATATTGCCTGTCAAGATTAAATTACTCTGTATATACACACATATATATATATATATTTTTTTTTATGTACAAATATATCTACATTTGTTATATCAAAGGGAAGAAACATGCCATTGAATGCTTTTTATCGAATTGCCCGTAATACTCAACGTATGTGGTTCGGTGAAAATCAACGAGGAAATGAAACCGAAGGTGCTTCCGCCAACGAGGTAGAGAGTGCATTTTGGAAACATGTTGCCGAGAGAAAACGTCATGTCTGCGTACATGCAGCAAGCATTGATTCGAGCGGTCGTGGATTTGGATTTTCTGTTGCAAAAAACAGTCCGTTTGCTAGACATCCTTGGAATCTTAAAGTTCTCACTAACAATCCTGGATCAGTATTAAGAGCTTTGGGTCCACTAATGGGTATGCAACTTTTATGTGTGTATATATATATATATATATATATATATTACAATTATTACAGTTATTTGTATGAGTGGAGGAAATAAATAATAAACGACAGTTCAACGATCCTCATTTTTTAATTCTTATTTTATGCTTTTTTCAATAAAGGTGTATATAATATTTTTATACAAATAATGTCGGTATTTTTAGGTGTAACCGTACCAACGTTGCATGTGGGTATGTTATTTAGTGCTTGTTGTTGGTATCGTGATCCGCATGGTCTACCATGGATAGAGTATTTACATACAGGTGCCAAAAAAATTTGGTATGGAATACCTGATGAGCATAATAATAATTTCCGAAAAGCGCTCTCGAAAATGGTACCACAATATTGCAAAAATAAGACTATATGGTTACCTTCTGATACTGCTATGGTTCCGCCGGAATTATTAGTGAGCAACGATGTACCATTATGTCAGACTGTGCAAGAGCCGGGACAATTTATAATAGTATTTCCAAAAGCATTCACATCAAGCATATGTACTGGTTATGTTGTATCTGAAAGCGTATATTTCGCACAACCATCCTGGTTAGAAACTGCAGAACAAGTATTTAAGGTATGTAATAAAATCTTTTGTATGAGATTTTTAGCCATTTAATTTTAATTACGATTTTATTATTATTATTATTATTATTATTATTATATAAATTGTATTGTTTGTGTGTATATATTTTTTTTTTTCAGGATATACAAGATAGTTGCGAACCTTCTATCTTTTCATTTGAGAGATTGTTATTTAATATTATTAATGATACGAGATCACACATAGACATATTGAAACAGGTAGGAATAAATTTATGCTGTAATTGTTAAATTAATATTAAAGATTAAAACGTAGATAGTCATATATTATTATATAAACTTTTGAATTACTTAGTATTACATTATAATTTTATATCTTTAGATATTGCCGAGTGTAATAAAGATTTGTGAAAAAGAATTAAATTATCGTAAACAGCTGGAAAGTGTAGGTCTTATCAATAGAGAAAGATTGCCTTTACCAGTTAGTGGAAAAGGGAAGAAAGGGAAAAAGGTGAAAGATGATGATGGCGACTTCGAATGTGAGACATGTAGAGCTAATTTGTTTGTCTCTTTGATAAATAATTCGCAAGATGACAGCGTTTATTGTTTGCCGCATGCCTTGCACTTAATTAGTTGTAAGAAGCAGGTTTTGAAACATTGTACTCTCATGTACACGTATGATGAAGTAAGTACAACTTGTTATAATTAATTAATTAGTACGTCATACATACGCAAAATATAAAACTATCTAAGTAATTATATCTTAATTTATGTTTATTAGGATGAATTAGACGAGTTGATTCACAAACTGGAAAACAGAATTGAAGCCAAATCTAAAAAAACTAATCAAATAAAACAAAATAAGCAAGAAAAATAAATCTGTTATTTTATTTATAAAAGATAGAAGTGATCGTTATTTATTAACCAATATTAGATAAGCATTGCATAACTAGCAAATATGATCGCATTGTGTCTTACTTGTTATAATAGAAACTGGTTTAATAAAATTTTTTTATTTATTGCATAATAGATAAAAATGACGATGAATGACATTATATATAAATAAAAATTTCATATGGTTTGGTCCAACTCTTTCGAGACAATTGTCATGTATGTCAAATTACGAGATTTCGCGATACTTGTCTTTAAAGAGTTAAACAATAAATATATACATATTTTATTGTTGGTAGAAATTATATCTAATATATCTGTTGTAATTTACTTGTAAGAAAAATTGACAAATTACAAACTTATTCTTTAAATTTCTCATAAAATGATCTTATCTACTTCTCTTATTTATGATTAAATTAGAATTGCAGAATAGTAACTGTTGGAATAATATATGATTCTTTTATAATTATGTATTATATTTATTAGAGATATATATTTCAAATAAAATTTGATAATAGAAAAATTAGGATATATTCCGAAATACAAAATAAATTATTTATTAACAAACCTGTGTCCAATTTGTTTATTAATTGATATAACGTAATATGATTATGTTGACTTATAGCGAATTCGACTGGACGCACTCAGTGCGCATTGATGCACATTAAAACCATCATACATAAATTGATGTAAAAATATGTGTGTAATATAAATATAAAAATGGATTAAATTCTGAATATATTTTATTATGCTATTAATATATATACATCTTTTCGTCTTATTGAAAAGACAATCAAAACGATCTTTTCATCATCTTTTAGACATCTTTTCGCTTTGTCAGAAAGACAACTTTAAAAAGATCTCTTTTCGTTATCTTTTAGTAACTTGTGCTGTCGGGATATGTGCATAAGATTTTTAAAAACGTATTTATTTAAATAACTCATCATAGTTGACACTTCATTAGTGCATTTAAATTTATTAATTATTGTGCGTTCATTATTAAAAGATAAATATTGAATTATCATTATATTTTAGACGTATATTCTAAAATAATGTGCGCGTGCACATGCATACCTAATCTAGGATTGATAAAAATCAATTTAAACATGTTTAAAACATGTTTAAAACATGTTTTAAACATGTTTTTTTATAATACTGTTTAAATCATATATAAAGCATTAAAAACATGTTTTAAAAAACACAATGTTTCATTCTTTAAAAAAAACATCTTTTGTCAACCCTCATATATGCACGCATGCACGCACACCCGCCCGCTTGCTCCTACACACACACATACACACGCAAGGACGCACGCGCGAGCGCACCCAACACACACACATACAATTTAAACAAATTAATATATTGCATAGTAAAACTCTTATTCATATAATGTTCAAAACAACAATAAATCTTTATATGTAGTGACATTTTTCTATCAATATTAACACGCGAAACACATTTCACGCTTTCATTTTTGTACTTCATAATTTTTTTAAGATATTTGTATCTTTTTCTTACATGTTACTATACAGAAGTATATCGGGAAATCTTGCATTTTCACAAATATATATTATATTATATTTTTAATTAAATTCTGAATTCATTTACTTTCAACGTTAATCAAAATGTCTGTTATTTCTGATATATCAAATTTTATAAATTTATGTGATATAAAAGAGTGACCCCAAATCTAGCCCATTTTGTAATCTTCGAATTTCGAATCGGATTATATGCTACATGATATTATACGACAGGACATTAATCTCAAAAAAAATTTAAGTTGAGCATAAGAATATGTACTTTTGAAGATACTTCTCGTATCAAAATAGTCAAATTTCTAATATTTTAAATATTGTTCAAGCAATATAGACATAAAAAGATAATTAATACTTCCTTGATAACAAGAATTTTGACTAGAAATAGATGGTTTCTTACCTCTCCCAGTCCTGATGTTTAATTTTTTAGAGGGATCCTGAAGTCGTTTGTTTTATCGACTCAACAAGATTTACACATATACGATTTACATATCATTGATATATTACTACACATTACTACATCAGTATCGCATGTAGCGTATGTACAAATTTTCTAACTTTTTTTTTTTAAGATTAATGTCCCTTCATATAGCATCATTTAGCATACTGTTCAATTTGAAATTCAAGGGCTTCAAAATACATAGGCCAAAAACGTATGTTTTTTGGAGTCATTCTTTATGATATCTACAACTTCATTATTGACTGTAAAATTTACACTGGAAAAATCTGAAATGCTGTAAGTCATAAATATACACTCGAATGTTCTTTTTAATAAAAAATAATTCCTTATCAGATCTAAAAATTTATGATCACTGTTCTCTGCGTTGCAAAATATCTGACAATATTTGGGTCGAGTTATCACTTTCTCTCACATCACCATCTTCATCCGAGCTAAAGTCAGCATTGAGAAGATTAATTAAAGAAGTCGATTTTTCCGTCAATAATGGCATGTTCGAATCGGTTTCCTCTTCGCGTTTAGCATTGTTACTAGCCACTTTCGATTGCAATTCCATATTATCAACTGCTTTCTTTCTATTAAGTAATACTTTCTGAACAACATGAAGTATTATACCACCAAGGCACATTAACAATCCTACAAAGTTAAGGCCAGTCAGTTGGTCACCTTTCAATACAAAGGCCAGTGCCAATGTACATATTTCCTGCAAACAATCATTACAAAATGAAAAACATAAGGAAATTGAAAATTAGCTAAATAGAATGAATATTTGTATTATCTATGAAACTTTTCTGTGACGTGTATTAATAAAACTTGATACCTATAAATCTTGTATTTTTCTCAGAGAATGAAAATAACATTGTTATTTGTAACGCTGTTACCGTTACAAGTTATTTTTTTGTAACTGACTCATAACGGCGTTACTTTTTTTGTAACAATACTTTATTTTTATAATGATAACGAATTACTTTTACAATTACTTTTATCGTTTTTATTTTGAACCTGTTGACTTAATTTATCAATAATTATATTTTATATTCTGAACCTATATGACATAATTTTGTATATATTCAATCTTTAATCTTTAGCCAGTATTCATAATTTGTTCTTATTTTATGATCATTTTAAGGGCCTCAGCAGAATAGATGAGACTTATAATCTTGAAATTGAGACAGCGGTCGATTTGGACCGCGCTTTCAGCGCTTTTCAATACTTCTATTCTTATTTTACGTTTAATGAACGATAAAGACAAAATGATGATTACAAACATTTAAAGCGCGTGAGCGTCCAAATCGATCGCAGTTATTGTCTTATGATCTAAAGCCCGGTTACACCAACATTAGGAGGTGCGCACAACGAATAAGAAACAAAAAATAAAGAAAAAAAATTTCGACCTATCAGAAATCATGTACTATGGAAAAACAGTTTCTGACAGGTTGAAATTCTCAATCTGTTCCCTATTCCTTTGATCGTGCGCAGCCTATACTTTGACTGTAAGAGGTTTAAAAAATTTCTCTCTATCTCTCTCTTTCTCTCGTCTTTAAAGAGAGAAAGTGAGAGTTAAACACTGGCAGCCATTTTTTAACACATTTTGTGTAACTCAAACTTGATCTCTTCTTCATGGATTTCAAGAGAAATATTTATATCTATGAGATTTTAATTTGAACTTCGATTTATTTCAATAAATATACAACGATTTTGAAAAATATTAAAAATTTGTGCTAAAATTTAGTGGACCATTTTTTTGCATATGAATGTCTTTTAAAAAAATAACATTCCATTCTCTGATTTTATTGTAATTGTTTTTAATAGAAATCTCAAGTAAACGAGAATGAATTGAAATGGATTCAAATTTTTAGAGATAAACATCCGTGTAAAATAAAACCTTTTCAATCCGAATTTATTTATAGAAATTGCATAATTATTTGTGTGTGTGTGTGTGTGTGTGTGTGTGTGTGTGTGTGTATGTGTAGAAACACATATTTTATGTATGTAAAATCATTTCTGTGTCTTTCAATTTGAAAATATTATCAGCTTTTTCTGTGCTCCTCGTAAATACAGCTCAATTCACAATTCTGAGTAGGAAATGTAGTTTTTCAATTGAATCCAATTGAATCCAATTAATTGAATCTAATTAATTAAAAACAGTTTTTTTATTATAGATTCACTGGACTAATAGGTATGCATAAAAATTTCAATCCATTCTTGATTATTCGAACAGAAAACGTAAACATAATATTTATTACAATTTAGAATTCAATAATAAATTGACTAACAATTTTACCTTACATATTCCCGAGATCGACAATGTCAGACTAGAAGTATAAGTAACAACTAAGAATTCCATCACTTCCATACTAAATGCTAAAATGGCACCTGTTATTACAGCAGCTGTAGTCAATAAAATATTATTAATGTTGCTCCAATCGGTGATTCTAATACTATCGTATATTTTGCCACCTAAAATTGAACAAGTTTTTAAGGTTGCTGGAATGACAGGAATTAATGACATTACATGTGATGAATTTTCTTCGAATTTACTAGGAGTCGATTATGTATCTTAAAACTTGCTGAAATAAGTTGAAAATTACAAAAATGATTTACTAGAATTTACTAAAATATTTATAATTTCATCATCCTATTCAACACCGTATTGAATTTGCTCATTATAATTTTCATCTCCTTTCAAAATACGTAATCCTGGCAACAGGAGATCGATTCCAAATTTTTCGAAACAAGAAAATTACAGAAGTGAAGATTAAAATTTTATTTTTATTTTATTTTTGTTAATTTCATTAATCAACATTTAATGAATTTGTTCGCTTTTGTAATTTTCATCTTGTTTCAAATATACAATCGATCCTTTGAATTCAAAAACCTTTGAGAATAGAAATAAATACAAAATAAAGTACAACTTTATACTAAACGCGGACAACTTTATACTAAAAATGAAAAAAAAATTCATTTGTCACCTTTCACTTTTACTTTCACCTTTTTTGTACAATACTTATATACATAAAAATTTTCATGTTTTCTCTAGAAAAACCATTGTATGATCGATATCTTAACGTAGAAGTTTCCTTAAAGTATCTATAATGAGCTTTAATTTAAAGTTTAAAATTTGAGTGTGTCTAAATGGAGAAAGAAACAACGAAACGAGTCATCCGACTTTCCATACAAAATAAGGAAATTATGAACTTTGATTGTTAAGAACTTTTTAATGAATAACGAGCGATGGCTGTTAAAAGTCATTTAGGGTCATGACCTTGATA